TAATATATATATATATATATATATATATATATATATATATATATATATATATATATATATATATATATATATATATATATATATATATATATATATATATATATATATATATAATGTTGCTTTTCTTTTTGAATGTTCTTTTAAATAGTAATTTAGTCCTGGAATTCAGTGTACCATGATCAATCAGAAATCATTTTGATAAGCAGATTTGGTGGACACAAAATATTTTTATTGATGATTATTTAATATATTTATTAATAAATGTATTTTTAAAATTCATGTTCATAATTTTATATTATTATCAAAGTTGAAAACTTTTTTATGATTGGAGGAATAATTAAATAATATATTATTGATACATAAATATTTGACATGAAATTATTTTAAAATCTATACATCATGTATTTATTATTATTTTTATTTTTATTTATTATTTTTTATTATAATTGTGGTTATTATTATTATTTATTATTATTATTATTGTTGTTGTTATTTTTATTTTTATTATTAATATTTTAATATTATTATTATTATTATTTATTATTATTTATTGTTATTATTATCATTATTTATTATTGTTATCTTGATTATTTATTAATATTTATCATTATAATTATTTTTATTATTGTTGTTATTATTATTTATTATTATCATTATCATTATTAATATTAATATTACAAACACATATATAGCGTTTGTAATATTTTTTTAAAGATATATATATATATATATATATATATATATATATATTTAGATATTTTGAAAAAATTGGTTCACGCATTATTTATTTATTTATTTATTTATCTTTTTATATTTATCTATTAACGAATATGTGAATTGTGAAATTGGTAATATGTGTTATATGTTTGGTTGGTATTGTAGGGTATTTTACATTATTCTTTCATTTTCCTTAGGCTTAGTCCCTTTATTCGTCAGGGGTTGCCTTAGCAGAATGAAACAGCAACTATTCCAGCATATATTTTACACAGCAGATGTCCTTCCAGCTGCAACCCAGTACTGGAAAACACCCATACACTCTAACACTCATACACTAACGACAATTTAGTTCATCAATTCCCTTATAGTGCATGTATATGGACTGTTAGGGAAACCGCAGCACCAGGAGGAAACCCACACCAACACAGGGAGAGCATGCAAACTCCACACAGAAATGCCAACTGACCCAGCTGAGGCGCGAACCAGCGACCTTCTTGCTGTGAGGCTACAGTGCTATCCACTGAGTCACCATGTCGCCCCCAAAGGTAGAAAACATCTGTTCTGCTTCACACTTCTGGAGCAGGTCAAGTCTTCTCAGAGGTGATGATCAGTGCAGTCGGTGACGGATGTGAGCAGGTGTGTGTCTGGTGAAGCCGCTCTAATGCTTCAGCAGGTTTTGAGGGTCTGAAGCGTTCAGTGAGGGATTTAGTGAACATCTGTTTGTGTGTATCTTGTTGTGACACGCTCAGATGTTCTGGATCGCTGCGCCGCTGATACTGTCTGATAAAACCATTAGATTAAACCATTGTCTGCCAGGTTCTCTGCTGGTCTGTGTGGGCTCAGGTGTTGTGGGT